AGTTTGCCAATGAAGAAGATCTTCAACTTGTCCTGGAAAATAGGCAGTATCACTATGCTGGCTTCATGCTAATTTTGCAGAGATGGGAACCTACAGTGTCTAGGTCGTTTCCGTCGGAGATTCCATTTTGGATTCAAGTGACTGGAATCCAAGTGCATCTATGGATAGAAGAACTCATCAAAAGTATTGGTGATGACATTGGATCAGTCGTGGAGGTTAAGGTGTCCACTACTATGGCAAGGATACGAGTAACCATTAATGGACTCCAGCCGCTCATCAAAACCTCAATTGTAGAATTCAGGAACGAAGAAGAGATTGAAGCCTCTCTGATTTATGAGAGATTAAAGAAGCACTGTAAGAGATGTTTTCGTCTGGACCATGATGATAAAGAATGTCCAGACTTCAAGCCAAGAACAGAGAGAGGACTTCCTCCCCTACCTGAGAAAAGAAGACCTGAGCAGGTGGGTAGAAATTCTAACATGAGGTCCCGACTAGAGAGGATCCCGGCACACCAGAAAGAGGAAAGGTGGTACCGAGATTACGAGGGTGATAGGGAGAGAAATCGTAGGGAGCGACGTAATGATCTTTCAACCAGACATCACAGAGCCAGTTCACCTGGGCTTAGAAGGTCACCCCCTCCCCGACAAGAATCAAGATACCAATCTCGCGACCACCACTCGCGCGCGACAATGAGCCGTTCAAGATCAAAGGAAGTTGACAAGGGCTTGTCCCAAGGTTCGGATGAGCAAATATCTAGATACTACTCTAGTAGCTCCCGTCTTAAACCAAGAAGTAAGGAGTACTACCTCCAAAATGATGCAGCTTTAGACTCGAGGGAAGTGGGGTCAGGGAGAAGAGCAAGGATCCCAGATGAAGGGGATGAGAATGGAATCACTTCCTCGGCTCCAAGTAGAAGAAGGATTCCCGTTTCTGAAAGGCTAACTCTCGCTGTTTACATTGACCACTTTAACCGAGAGGGAATGATCAATGAAAGTGACCCTCAGCAAAGCTCTCCTCCTCTTTAAGTTCACCAAGAAGCCTTGGACGTCGCTATAGAAGAAGTAAGAGAGGTTATGGGTAATTATGTTAACTATGCAGACACTGCAGAAAGCGCAGCTAGGAGGGAAAGGTTCAGGCAGGCAGAGATCCAGGGTTAAGTTGAAGAAACTGCTGAACAAATGATGAGGTCTAATATTGGACTACCCAATACAGGGGCTTCTTCTGCTCCAGACTCACCATTAAGGTGTGAAAGTAGTGAGCGTGTTCCAGTATCATGTAATAATTATATTGATACTAAAATCTCTGCTTTTGGAAAGTCGTTTTTTGCTACCTTTGTGTATGGTGATCCAGAACCGGGTAAAAGGAAAGCTGTGTGGGAGAGCCTTATAGAGGTGGCATAGTTAAGAGAAGGCCCCTGGTATCTAGCAGGGGATTTTAATGACATTATTGACAACTCGGAGAAGAAAGGAGGGCCGGTGAGATCCGAGGGTTCTTTTTTGGATTTCAGATCTTTCCTATCTGAGTGTGATTTATATGAAATTTGACATTCTGGGGTCCCTCTTTCTTGGAGAGGTGTTCGAGGCTCTCATGTGGTGATGTGTCGTCTAGATAGAGATGTAGGAAACAGTGAATGGGTTGAACAGTTTCCTAATTTTAATTGCAAGTATCTGCCCTTTGAGGGGTCTGACCATAGACCCTTAATAACCTTTTTCTCATTGGAAAGAAAGAAGGAAAAATGGTGGTTTCGCTATGATCGACGACTCAAAGACAATATGGAGATTAAGAAGCTGGTTGAGGAAGTCTGGCTGGAAGATGAAGAGTGTTCAATACAGGAAAGAATCTCTAATGTTAAAGCAGCTATGATTCTTTGGAATAAAGAAAACTTTAGAAACAGACAATTGAAGATTGTTCAACTTCAGCAGGAGCTTGAAAAGGCTATGGTCAGCCCTATCCTTAATGAACTTCAGAAGAATTCAAGTTACTTTCATGCAGTAACTAGAGGAAGAAAGGAAATTAATAAGTTCTCTGTAATTGAGAATGATGTTGGAGAAGCTTTTTATGAGGAGAATCAGATCACAAAGGTAATTACTTCTTACTTCTAGAATATGTTTGCTTCGTCAAGAGATAACCAGAGCGGTATGGAGGATATCATTATGGAGGCTTTATCCCCTTGTATCTCGGAGGAATCCAATAGCATGCTTATTGCAGAGCCTACAACTGAGGATATTAAGAAGGTTGTGTTAAGCATTCATCCTGGGAAGGCTCCGGGACCGGATGGGTTCTCTGCTTGTTTTCTCCAGTCCAACTGGATGGCTATAGTCCCTTCGCTGACAAAGGAAATTCAAGATTTCTTCATGACATGAATTATGCCTAGGAATCTTAATGAAACACATATCAGATTGATTCCTAAGGGCCAAGGACAAAGAAAAGTGGCCGATTATAGACCTATTGCTTTGTGTAATGTGTACTACAAAACTATCTCTAAAATCTTATCGAAAAGGCTTCAGCCACTTCTGTCCTCCATTGTGTCTGAGAATCAGTCAACATTCATTCCAGGGAGAGCTATCTTTGATAATGTGTTGATTACACACGAAGTGCCGCATTATCTCAAGATATCAAAGGCTAGAAAGTATTGCTCTGTGGCAGTGAAGATCGATATGAGCAAAGCGTACGACATAGTTGAGTGGATTTTTATTCAGAAAGCTTTTGAAAGACTTGGCTTTCATCCAATATGGGTTAACTGGATAATGCAGTGTATTTCCACTGTTTCTTATTCTTTTCTTATCAATGAGTCTCCGAAAGGGCGTGTGGTTCCTTTAAGAGGGATTAGACAAGGGGATCCCCTATCTCCTTATATTTTTATTATTTGTAGCGAAGTCCTGTCGGGACTTTGTCACAAAGCTCAAGCTTCAGGCCAGTTACAAGGGATTACAGTCGCTAGAGGATGCCCCCGGATAAATCATCTTCTCTTTGCAGATGATACGATGTTCTTACGTAAAGTTAGTGAAAAATTGTGTCTCTTTTAAGAAGACTGTTGGAGAAATATGAGCTAGTCTCTGGTCAGAAAATAAATACTTCAAAATCGTCAATTTCCTTTTCAAGGAAAACTCCAGCAGTTCAGAGGAAAACAACAATGAGAGTCCTAGGCATTAATAAGGAGGGAGGTGTAGGGAAGTATTTGGGCTTGCCTGAGCACTTTGGAAGGAAGAAGAAAGATCTGTTTGCCTCCATTTTGGACAGGATCAGACAAAGGGCTCTCTCTTGGTCCAATAAATTCTTGTCCCAAGCAGGAAAGCTAACCCTTTTAAAGAGTGTGTTGGTAGCCATGCCTTCTTATGCGATGTCATGTTTTCTTCTTCCTGTCTCTTTGTGTAAACAAATCCAGTCAATCTTAACTAGGTTTTGGTGGGACTCCAAGGCGGATAAGAAAAGCATGTGTTGGATGGCGTGGGATAAATTGACTGTGTCTAAGCAAGAAGGAGGACTAGGTTTCAGGGATGTCCAGTGCTTTAATTCAGCTTTGCTTGGTAATTTGGGCTCGAGAATCTTCACTAATCCTTCTAGTTTCCTGGCGAGAACCTTACTAGGAAAATACTGTCCTTCCTCTTCTTTCATGGAGGCTGGTTGTCCTGCTGCAGCCTCTCATGGTTGTAGAAGTGTGATTGCTGGAAGGGACCTCTTAAAGAAGAATCTTGGATGGGTTGTTGGTGATGGAAGTTCAATTAAGGTGTGGGAGCAACCTTGGCTGTCTCCTTCAGAACTCCTTAGGCCGCTTGGTCCAGCCCCTTTTATCAAAGGACTGGGTTGTTTCAGATCTGTTTGTCCAGGATTCTATTGAGTAGGATGAGACTAAAGTTGCGAGAACTTTCCATCTTTAGCGTGCAACTATCTTATGTATAAAGCCAAGCAGGTGGGGGGGGGTAAAGATAAGCAGGTTTTGCTTGGATGCCCGTCGGGTGTGTATACAACCAAATCAGGTTACTTTATAGAGAAGGCATCCATGCTTTTGGTACAAGACCATCAACTTACTTCAGTTGATTAGAAGAAAGAGGTGTGGTCAATCCCCACAGCTCCTAAGGTAAAAATGTTCCTCTGGAAGAGTTTACATGGTGCTCTGCCAACAAAACAACGACTGTTGGAAAGACATTTGGATGTGGTTGTTGATTGTTGTAGGTGTGGAGCAGCAGAATCTATTCTGCATTTTCTCTTTAGCTGCCCCTTTGCACAGGAAGTATGGGGACTGGTTCCCTATAAGCAAGCCCTTTCTTGCAGCCAGGTGGATAGTGTAAGATCAGGTCTGCTCTTGGCAAATTCGCTCATCTATCTTCCACCCACAGGATTATCTGCTGGACCGTTAGCACCTTGGATATGCTGGAATCTATGGAAAGCTCGGAATCAAAGGGTGTTCAATAACCGGTGTTTTAGTGCTAATGAGGTTATGTTAAGAGTGCTCTTGGATGCGAAAGAATGGTGTGAAGCTCAATTTACTAATTATTTTGGTCAAAGGTCCCAAGAGAACTTCACAATTAAGCGTGCTTATGTTGGAGTAGTCCAAGGATGGGTGACCTTTCGAGAAGTGGTTGTCGGAACTGAGTGAGTAAAGGCCAAAACACCAGGAAAGATCATGTGGTGATTTGTAGAATCGAGAAACAAGTATAACACCCGTGTCTGGAAAACCGGATGGGTCGATCGACACCAGTAAGGGGTGTCGATTGACACTAGTAATCTCTGGTTTAACGGTATAGGTTTTAAATCGTCGGTTTGATTGGATTTCGGTTTGGGGAAACCTAGGGCTACTAAAAGGATTAAGGGGCGTCGTTTCTCTGGTTTTCTTCAGTTGTCGCTTTGTGAGTTTTGAGAGAAGAGGAGAGAGTGAGAAATAGATCTTTTGGTGCTTTTGAGTGAGTTTTTGGAGACGTTGAAGCTTATTCTTGGTGGTTCAAGGCTAGAGGAGGTTAGATCCGTGGTGTGTGGTGTTAGGAGAGCTTGTTTTGCTTGTTTTGTCCCTCTTAGTCTCTGTTTTGGGCTGTTCTTCTAGATTTAAAGGTGAGTGCATGACCAAGACTTATCTAAGCAGTTTTGATGCATATTTGGTGTTCCTTTGATTGATGATTTATTTCGTTTCTTCTATGCTTGTTTTATATGATTTGGGGACTTTGGGCGAGCCTGAGGAAGTGTTATTTCGGCCATGTAGTGCAAGGAAGGGGAGACCCATTGATGAGAAGCGACTGGAGTGAAGTTAGGGCTTCGGTGTCGATCAACACTAGTGGCGAGTGTCGATCGACACAAACTTTCTTTCTCGCGAGGATAGTCTCGAGTGTCGATCGACACCAGTGGAAGGTGTCGATCGACAATAGTCGTCATATTGGCTTTTATATTGATTGTTCATAGATTGTTGATGCTTGTGATGGTTAATGCTTGAATGTGTTTCATTATTGCTTGTGTGTACGGCTAGTAGTGGGATGAATGCCTCACTAAATATTTCTAGAAATACTTATGCATCTCTTTTCCTGATGCAGGTAAAGGAAAAGTGTGACCATGGAATCAAGGCGTGGAGAGCGGGATGACTAGGGACTCGTTAGTTGTTTCTGTATTATTGTATGAATTGTTAGGATGTTAGTCCGGAACTTCGAAACATGTTA